AAAAAAAATTGATTCCTTGCGTGCTACTTCCGTAATTGGTGAGGCAAGGTCTGAACTCCAAAAAAATGCGGGTCTGGACCGAGTCGGGCTGGTCTGTGGGTCGAGCCTTGGGCCAGGTTGGACCATGGACCATGCCAAAGTTATTTATTTAAAAAATGAAAAAAAAACTTAAAATTTTAATTTTATATGAATTTTGATGTATACAATTTCTTACATATACAATGATTAAATAAAATAGTATAATAAAATTGAAAAAATTGTTTATTTTATTAATATATTAATATTATATACTATTATATAATTATAATTTATATAATATATTATAAGATATATATGGACCGTGCCGAACTGTGCCACAGGCTGGGCCATGCCAGTCCGCGGGCCAGGGGTGGCACAGCCCGCTGACCTGAAACCGGAAACCGGGCATGACCCATCGGCCCATTCAATCTTGCCCGGCCGCGGCCGTGGACCATCGGGCCGGGCCTTGCCGATTTACAGCTCTGTAAAGAGAAGACCCATTGTCTGGCACGTATCTCATGCATAAATGATTGGGGGGAGCCCAATATGATTGCTTTGTAACCGTCTGATTTGCGTCTATATTTTCTCAAAGCACTACGGAGTTCCTTTCTTCACTGCACTGCAAAACACGGACACGGTTGAATCATTTTTGGCTGAGCCAATCCCTGCTCTGCCTCTGCCTATCGTGGTGAAGTAGATTCCCGATGTCATTGTCATCTCTGCATTTCGCTGAGGCATGTGTCGTTCAGTGAAAGTATAAAAGCAACCCCTGCTTTGGTTAAGTAGTACACACATCACATCCATCAACGTTAGGTCAGCCGTGTCATTTTGCTAAATCCGAAACGTCGTATTTTTCTAATGAAAAGACGAAAACACCCCACATGTCGCCCATCTGAGCTGAAATTAATTATTCCTTCTAAACATGCAGGATGCAGCCCCCTCTCATTTACTATATTCTCCTCTCAGTCCCTCTTCTTTCTAATGTCATGAATATTGACCCTTTATAACCTCGTAAACTGAAATTCTGAAAAGGGGTAATAGCATATAAGTGAAGTTTAATATCAATAAAAATAATATATTTAAAAAAATTTCAAAAACAGGTTAATTTTTTAAAAATAATATCAATAAAGAGAAAACATTGTTCATCTTTTTCTTTTTGCCATTTGTTCATCAGAGCCGTCGCTTGTCGTCGCCTCTGCCCATCTCCGCCTCCGCCTCTGTCCATCTCCGCCTCCGCCTCTGCCTTTGGCAACGTTGTCGGAGGTGACCAGAGGCAAAGGTGGCGGCGGCGGCGCTGGTGGTTTTTCTGTCCAACACCGCCACCTCCGGTAACATTGCCGGAGATGGGTGGAGACAAAGGTGGCGGCGGCGGTGGCGGGCAAAGGAATGACCACTAGCACCACCGCTACCACCTCTGCCTTCGGCAACGTTGTCGAAGGTGGCGACGGGTGATGGTGGACGGTGGCTTTGATGAACAAATTACAATTAGAAGAAGATGAACAGTATTTTTGTCCTTTATTAATATTATTTTTAAAAAGTTAACCTATTTTTGAATTTTTTTTAAATATATAAATTTTATTATATTAAACACCAAAAGTTACCCTTATATGTTAGAAACCCTTCTGAAAACGATGTAATGGTGAATAGATAATTTCGAATTGGGTATTCACTGGATTTGGTGGCTGGTGCTGACTTTTTTGTTCACTGTTTACTTCAAAAATTATTAATTGTTTCTTTCATTCATTTACATCAACAATAGTTAATTAGTTAGGTTGCAATTTGGGCGGACCCAACCTGACCCAATCCAAATATTTTTTTGGGCTGGACTTAGATTTTGCTCCTCCATAAGATTGACCCTAGAATCTCAAGGATTTTCATTTTCTCGGTCTGGGGTTGGGCCTAGCCGCTGTTATGTAGCTCAATAGCCCAAGCCCATGCCCGACCCAATACACACAGACAATAATTTCAACTAAGGCTTAAGATAATTAACCTGAGATAGGTTTAAAACTTTTTCAAGGGCTTAGATCTTAGGCCAAAGCATTAAAGTGGGACCTATGTTGACCTTAATTCCAACTAATCCCACCCAAGTTTCAACCTAGTGATTACTAACAAATCACACAACACACTTACACACACCTGGTATTCCTTTCTCTATCTTTCATATTGACATCATCATTTCTCTAGCCATAGCTTATCACTTTTAAGCTTTTCTCTCTCTCTCTTGGGGATTTACAGACTGATCATATTTTCATAATCATCAATGCCTTTGTCCTAATTATATGAGATTGGCCACATGAATCTTATTTAGCCTCTATTCAGTTTAGGCCATGTTTGCAAGTGATTATGTTAAAAATAAGTGTTTAAAAATAAGTACTTATTTGAATAAGTATTTATGTGTATTTTGGCATCCAATTTTTTCAAGTGTTTATTCGATAGAAGTGCTTTATAAAAGTATTTCTGTAAAAAATACTTTTATAAAAGTATTTTTATAAATGTATTTTCGTGCAAGTGATTATGTTAAAAATAAATGTTAAAAAACAAGTGCTTATTTGAATAAGCATTTGTGTGCATTTGGCATCCAACTTTTTCAAGTGTTTATTCGATAGAAGTGCTTTTATAAAAGTATTTCTGTAAAAAATACTTTTATAAAAGTTATTTTGTAAAAGTAATTCCATAAAAATATTTTTATAAACGTGTTTTCATAAAAGTGCTTTTGTAAAAGTGTTTTCATAAAAATGCTTTTATAAAAGTATTTTCGTAAAAGTACTTTTACAAAAGTGCTTTCATAAAAATACTTTACTTTCATAAAATTACTTTTATAAAAGTGCATTTGTAAAAGTGATTTTATAAAAGGTTATAATTGGTATTCTAAAAATTTACCGGAGATGATTGTGGGAGAAAAAAATGAATAGGTGCTTATTGTATGAGCACTTAAAAAAATCTGGAAATTTGGGCTTAAAAAATAAGCACTTATTTCAGGCTTATTTCCCAAACACCAATAAATGCTTAATGGTGTGGTCCCTACCCAAATAAGCACTTATTTTTAAGCACTCCCAAACATGGCCTTAGTGCCATATCAAGTATAAGCAATTAAATAATTTCTTGTTACTTCAATCCATGTCCATTTTTTGTGTGCCCTTAGCCCTTGTAGCCTGTTCAACTTGTAGATCATTTTTTCTTACAAGTGATAGTCTTTTATGCATGTGACCATATAATTTTAGTATATTCATTTTTCTTAATATATTGGAGCTACTTTTAAGTTCCTTCAAATGATTTCACTTCTAACTCTATCATTCATTCATTTGTAGTTTTTCACTCATCCATCTCAATATATGCATTCAAGCCACATTAATTTTTTAGACACGTTTCTTGATTGCCCAACACTATACTCCAAACAGCATTACTGGCCTAATGACTACTTTATAGATTGATCTTGTTTTGATTTCTTTTTAATTTTTTTGTTAATTTATGTTACTAGTGCTTCCTTATGATCTAAAATGGTAAAAAATAAATAAATAAAAGATTCCATGGCTTAAGAAGTAGTCTATTAGATAGAGGTGATCATGGGCCAGGGTTAGCACCTAGAATAGGGGGCTTAACCTAGGTTAAGGCAGGCCAAACTAGGCATTTGGACCAACAAGCTTTAAATATTTAAAGTATGTTATTTAATATATAAAAATATTTTATATATAATATTTAGGGTGTAAATTGCGTAACCAATTTGAATGAATAGGGGCTTTTTATTTTCTTTGGGGGGCGGAGGGGGGTGAAATTGATGTAAATAAAGTCAGTTTCCGCCTATCCGGCAATGTTTTCAAACCATTATTGACCTGAAAGGTAAGACCACTTGACCAAAGAATAGTCGAGGCAATCGGTTCCGTGTTACCCCAAACCCAATTTCTAGCCAAAAACCATTGAATTGGTCAATAATTTATTAATCCGAGCGATCGAGTTGTCCACCCATTCAATGGTTTTGACCATTTTTTATTTTATTTTTTTTAATTTTATTGTCAAAATAGGCCATTTGTTTGAACTTTGAACCAAATGGTCGAAACATTGACCCAAAAACCGGTGGTCAAAACATTCCTTTTTTGAGAACGCTTCTAGACGCCATCATGATGGTATGGACCATGGTTTTCAAAACCGGACTGGAAAGTTAGACTGGAAAAAACCGGGAACTAGTTAGATGACCGATTCCATTTTACCCCAGAATTATTATTTTGTCAAAAACCGTATATTTGGTTAGCAAACCGCTGACTCGGGCAATCAAACTGTTCAATAATTTTGGCCATTTTTATTTTTTAATTTTTTTAATTTATATTTTTTATCAGAACATGCTACCCATTTGGTTCAAATGATCCGACCCTTGGACCTTGGAACCGGATCCTGACCAGTTCGGTTTAAAAACCTTGATATGGACTATGGACTATGGAGCAAAAGTATGCAGATAACTTATGGTCGTGGAAATAATTTAATGGAAGCTGGAGGATCTAAACGAATTCTCAAAGTCATAGGGACCGAAATAAAAAATATGGTATTAGACTGAGCCACAGAGCCACTGAGGGGATGATAAATCATAAACCTAGGATGGCTGTTAAAAAGCCAAAAAAGGGCAAAACCCAAAAACTGACACAGTAACAGTAACTTGGGTAGCCGAGGACCGAGGGATCCGACAAAGACCCGACCGAAAAGCATGCAACTTTTTTTTTTTTTTTTTGAAAATGAAAGCATGCAACTAATTAGAAAGCACCTCGCACAAACCACGAGAATCTCACTGTTTGATCAACCTTATCCAATGGCCCAGATCTGCTAGATAAACTACCGCTTGCGGCGTAAGTTAGTTAAACTTCCAAGCTGGCCTTTCCGAATTCCCCCCATGGAGCAAATATACCCTCGCCTAATAAAAAAATTACAAATACAAATCAAATTGAAGGGTATTTTATTCGTTTTAACTTTGCTTCTACCGCTATAAAATGCGACGTCTCTACTCGAACTCAACTTTAGCTGCGAAGAACAGCTTTGACGGGGGGGACAGTAGCAAGGAGCCAGAGACACAGACGTGCTCACCGGAATTCGAGCAAACAGCCGCCGGTCTGTCTGATACCGGCCAAAAAAGTCTTCTAATTGTATCTGCTTTACTTTTTGTCGCTTATTTCAAGTGTTTGGTTTCTTGTTAGATCGTCAGCTGGTCCGAATTTTCGATCTTGTCTCCGTCTGAACCCCAGGTTATCTGACACTCGCCTGAAAACTTCCCGGAGATAAGAACAATTGTTCCCGTGATGGGATTTGGCATTTGTCCACTGGAAACCCCGACGAGATTGCTGTGGAGTACTAGCTTCTTTCGTCACAAGGTCATGATCTTCTGAGAATTAAGAAGATAAAAAGACCAGAGTTTGGGGGTTGTGGAGTTTGCTTTTCGCCGGAAAAATCATCCACGAGGAAGAACTCTCCGACGATCCGAGATACAAAGATATACACTAAGTTATCTTTTATGGATTCCGGCCGTCTATTCTTTGATGCCTCCTGCCATGGGAACATGTTACTCCTTGGAAGCGCAGATCCCCATCTCCGAGGTGATCTCTCACCTTTGTTCTCATATTATCCCTTCTGTTTCCTTTTTTTTTTTTTTTTTTACTGCATACTTACTTCTTCAGTTCTGCGAGCAAAAGCTTTTCCGTTTCGTCATAATAAAGTTTCAACTTCAAGCGTTTATGTAAAACCTCATGCTATTTATTGCGCAAACTGTGTCTGTTATGCAGTTCAAGTTGGAATCTTTTCTTTTATCGAAGATCTGTAGCTCTGTCTGTTTTTCTTTGTCCAGAGTGTCGTATTTTTTTTCTGCTCTTTATGGTTGCATCAAGATCTGCTTTCTATCGATTGTTTTGTTAATCTATACTTAGCTTTAAATGTCAATTTGATCCTAAAATTTAAGAAACCTAAAAACTATATTAACTAAGTTAATTCCTGTAGTTGATCTACAGAAAATTACTTAAATCTCTCCTTGAATTGGCATTGCAGAGTCAAGATCGGTGCTGAACATGGAGGAAAACTCAAGGAGGCACCTTTTTTTCAGCTCGCCGGACGATCTGCTAGATGAAGAATATTACGACGAACAGTTGCCGGAAAAGAAACGCCGCCTCACTCCCGAGCAGGTTAGTGACCTTTCCACTTACTTTGTGCTCGTACCTTCAAAGTATCCCACACACTAAAATTCTTCAAGATAATGGCATATTCACTAAAAATGTTCTAATCTAATTGACGACTGGTATCAGCATCTGCTCTGCTTTTCATAAATTGTTTTGTCAAACATCAAAAGTGTATGAACGAAGACTCTTGTGT